ATATAAGTGGTCTAAATCCTGTTCCTTAGTGTAGTAAATTGCACTAGAGTAGGCCCACTGAGTTATTGGGATTTAGTGGATCAAATATCCTATAAGTTCCATTGATTCAAATGGGTTTAACTCTAACTGCAACTTACTTCAACATAGTAAGTCACAGTAAGAATAGGGCCATTCGAATCAATGGAACATATGCAGGAGCTGATTCACCAAACCCTCACTGATTCAATGGACCTGCTCTATTGTTATTTGCTATACTAAGCAACAGGATTTGGACCACTGTATATACTTTTAGATCTGGAATCTTAGCTCTCGACAGCTCAGACTTCCTTACTATTTTGTGTCTTCCAAGCAATACAAGCTTTCAAAGGAAAATCCAGTACATTACCGGCATGTCGTGACATCAAACATGCTGGTCATACCATATCAACATTCAGTATTACACAGACTTTCAGCTTTAAAAGCCAATATTGAAGTAGGGAAATTCTTGCCCACGGTCCAATTGTGACCTGCAGGGCCTGATGGTGAGTCCCCAACACCAAAGCCTTGCCCTTTCATCGGAGAAACAGAAGGAGAACAACTGGTGTTTGAGACTGCAGCTTAATTGCATGTTTCTGTGATTCTTTCCTCTGATCCAGCCCCTGTTGATGCATGCATGGACCCCTCTGTTTATACATGTTTATATACTGTCAGGGGAAGCATTCAGTTCCACTTTACATTTTCCTTCTTGAGCCCAATTGTTGTGGTTACTGAGTTAAGACTTTGTGAATTTCATTTGGTTTGCTCCACACATGCACCGTCTACATGTATTGTGGGAGAAATAAGGTCTGGTCTGTGCTTGTACTTCATGAAGTAGATGTGAAGTAGTAAAGTCCTGAGTTACAACTTGCCAGCTTCGGAAAAGTACATTATTACCAGTTGAAATTTGTCACAAGGTGAGGTTTGCTGTTTTTAAAAAAAACAATGTAGAAAAGGTCTGTTTTGTTCCTCCTTTTGTTATAACATAGAAGAACATTGTAAATTGGTGCTCTCACATACACGTTCTGAAATGATACTATCTGGAAAATAGTACCTTGTGCAATAGATTGAGCATAGAAAAAGGTTGAGAATAGGCATTACATGATACAATAGGCAGTTTTCTATCTCTTTCTTGCCTCTTTCTGGTAAAGCCTACTGTGATATCATTATGCTACGTGTTTACTTTTCCTGCCTTTCCTGGTTTCATATTACAGTATTTAGTATCAACTGAAGGGACAAAGAGATGCACACTTTGATGGTATCATGGCACACCTTGTGGTATAGATATTATCAGGAGTAGAATAAGAAACACACATACATGTATGTGTACATGGGTATGGAAGTGCCATTGTTCTGCATTATCTAATTCCATTATAACTAATATTTACTGTATAATTTATGTTTTGTGTTTTTAATATGGAAAACGGCAAATATTGTTATAAGAGGCTTGGGGGAAAAACAGGGGAGAAACAGTTGGCTGAACTGCCCTTGTATTCTGCAACATGTCAGGAACAAGAGTTTTATTGTTAGGGCTATATCAATACCTTTAAAAATAAGCTTCCATTTAAGTATTGATTTTTAAAGTGCTACAGCCTTGCCTATTCCAGTGTTTGAATGGTACCAAAAACAATTTACTTCCACAAATAGCCCGTTAAGTGAACTTAAATTGCCTAAACTTGAAATGCTTGGAGCTAGCACTGCAGAAGGAGATGGGTACCCAATTACATTATGGCAGTGATGACAGATAATTGCAGACCAGTAAATTCAATGCACTTGACATTTGATAAGCAATTCACTGCTATGTTTGAGAGGAGAGACCATGGAGCTTTGCTTTTGGAAGATGTTCCAGGATGTCTGAGTGAAATGCACCCCATAGAACTGTAGTTCAACCATAATCAAACACAGCCCAAGTTTAAGTATTGTTTGAGATGAAGTTGTCACTTAATGAACTCTTAAATATAAAGGGCATTTTGACTTAATTTCTTTCTATTTCTATATTTAATGTTTAAAAAAATATGCTCGCTCAAAAGTAATGAAAGCATCCCTTTGATATTTCATCATTCCCTGTTGGAACTGATCGTATTGATATTCACACAAGAAGCTGTTTTCTACTGGATCAGAACATGAGTCTGCTTAGCCCATTGTTGTCAAATGTGAAATGCAGTGGCTTCCCTTGTTTTCAGGCAAGATTCTTTCTCATCTGTACTTGAGAATCCCAGGACTGAATCTGGAAGCTTCAGTATATGAAGCATGTGCTGTTCTACCACTGAGTTAAGGCTTCTTGTTGCAGTTCTGGGCATTCGTAGTATAAACCTTGTCTTCTTCCAACAAACATGGCACCAATGAGGAATAGGTTTTCAGGACATTCTTTCCATCCTGCCATGCCACTGCCACACTAAACACAGAGGCAGTTAAAATATTTTTCATGAAAGAGATGATATGACTCAGACGACAACATAATGCCCTTATATGGATAAACATGGACTCAGATTCTCTACACTAGGCAAGTAAGTTCTACCAATAAATGAGAGTTGTAGGTGGAACCTGTCTTAATTTACCTTCCTCTGTTAAATCAACATCCATTTGAATCCATAGTTATTTTCCAGCAATGTAAATTCTTGTTGTTCATAAACTGGACACAGATACAGTGGCCTTTCCTTGTTTTTTGTTTGTTTCCCTGTTATCTGGTACTCAGAAACACTGTGAAAGTGACCATATTCCCATATTATTATAATGGCAAATAACTGTTGGTAGACACCTCTTTGTAAAGTCATCTAAATCACTTTAAAGACATCCGAATTAGTGGTCACTGCATTCTCTTGTCAGTTTTCAATGAGTACTGAATGTCAGAGGGAGTCCTATGTTCATGGTAATATATCAGTCCTTCATTGTAGTCTATGGTGTGCATCTTTATAGAGCCATGGTTTAGTACAGTACCTTCTAAATACAGAGAGTTTTGGTAGCAGCTGCTCTCCACCTGTCCACAGCATGCATTGGCAGGCTGTTCCTCTGTTCTGCTTTCTTTGCCACCGCAGCCACACTTAGTAGAATCCTTGAGAGAGAGGTAGACTCAAACTGTTCTTTTGTCGTATTTTTCTTATTAATATTATTCCTTTTAAACATTATTTATCCCCCTTTCTCTCTCTCTCTCTCTCTCTCTCTCTCTCTCTCTCTCTGTGTGTGTGTGTGTGTGTGTGTGTGTGTGTGAGAGAGAGAGAGAGAGAGAGAGAGAGAGTTTGTTCTATCCATTCCCTACCTTTCTTCTTTTTATTTTTCTTAGAATCTTTTATTTTCTCTCAGGACTTTCTCTTCTAGCCCCAGGGCTTCTTTTAAAACACAGTTCTACCTGAAAGGTAAGCTTACTTTTGCAGACTAGCATAAGTGCCTCCTTTGCCTAAGTGAGGTGCACAACAACTCAACAAGCACAATCTGTCAGTCTTTTTTCAGTCAGGTTTGTTGTAATCAGTACCCACATAAAATCTTTTCCCTTAGATAAGGCTATTTCCCCTGGTAACACTCCCACCAAAATGTTCTCAATTGGTAAATCTCCAATATCAACTTCTCCATTGTTGTCAGTACAGTGGACCCTCAACTTACAGGCGGCTTGACTTACAGACTTTTTGAGTTACAGACTTCTCTGGCCGCAAAATTTAGTTTCGACTTGCAGCTGGAGAATCGACCTACAGACTAGGAAAAAAAAACCCAAAATGGAACAAAAACAGAACAAAAATGGCCGGTTATGGATTAATCGGTTTTCAATGCATTGTTGGTCAATGGAGACTCGACCTACAAATTTTTCGACCTGCAGCCACTGTTTCAATACGGATTAATTCCATAAGTAGAGGATCCACTGTACTGCCTTTGTCAGTATCACTAGGCTTGGGGAAAGATAAGAATTTTCAGATTTTTGAAAGAAGAACAAGAAAAAAGACTGTTCGCTGTCAACTCCATGGAGACAGAATGGATGCTTGACAATGCCTTCCAACAAACCGCAAATGGAATTTTCCCTTCTTATGCTAGCTACACAGTTATACCTATACCTAAATGATAAATGCCTGCTTCTGTATTGGAGCCTGGGGCAGGCAAGGATACATGAGGAATCCATCACTGCTGAAATGATCCAGCAAGCTGGGCATGAATGAGTTCAGTCCATTCCAATGATGTCCACACTGGGCATGCTGACTATTGTGCTTACTACAGTGAGTGCATGATATCATTCTACCATGCTTCAGAGCAAAGGTTACTATGAGAACTCTCAATGCTGTGAATATCTATCCTGGTCTCACTATCCATCTCAATATGATAAGAGCACGTCTGTCCTCCACAACGGTATCTGTGTCATGGTCACTTATTTGGCCTCATATAGACACTTGCTTAACTTCCACTAGTTCACAGTTTGCTAGTACTCTCTTTATTATCACACTACATTTTTTTGGTCCATCACCACCATCAAGCATTATAGCTGTTTCTCCTCCACTGATTGTATTTGTTCAGATTTCTGTATCTGCTGCTGTTTAGTCAATGTTTATATTGCATGGCCTTTCTTTTGCAGCTATGGTAGTTTTTATTGTATACTCCTTGATACCAGCCCTTATATTCAGTGCCTTATCAACCATGGTAGTGATCAATATTTTGTTGTGTAATTTAGTCATTTTTATTATCCTTCACTACTGAAGTATCTTTGTCAGCCCCGGTTACAATCATGTCACTCCTTTCATCAAACATTGTACTTTGTACCCCTTATTAAAAGAACCTTAAGGAACTACGTGGGCTTTATTCTATTGTGAATCTAATGCAGGCTTTGTCAGATCTATAGCCTTATCAGTATACAATCAGTCCTCCTCTTCAGACTCACATGTAGAGAATTAGCCCCCTCCCCATCACAAGGTTGGTGTCTTCATTCAGAATGTTGACTTGATGGATTACTTAGAAATTTTATTTCCTCAATATGTATTAACAGCCTTTATAAACGTTTGTATCTCTAGATGTTGATGAATGTCTGGATAACAATGGTGGCTGCCAGCAGATTTGTGTCAATACAATGGGAAGCTATGAATGCCAGTGCAAAGAAGGCTTTTTCCTGAGTGATAATCAACACACATGTATCCACCGCTCCAATGGTAAGTTTCTAGTCAGTGATATGTACAGTGGGGCTGCCAGCTAAAATTCAGACAAGAGTTGTTCTTCATGGTGAAATAATTTTGTTGGGTTATGTGTGGCCGCTGATGTTATTTGCCTTGCCTCATGGGTAACCTTGGGCAGGCTGCAAGGTCCCAGAGCACCATCCCAAAAGGGGGCTGGTAAACCACATCTGAGCACTTTATACCTGGAAAACCCTGTGAAGGGCACAAGACAAGCTCATCATTATTGTTTTTATTGCTTTTGTTTTCATGATCGTCATCAGCATTCTAAGAGTAACAGCTTTTCTTTCCTTTTTTTTTCTTTCTTTCTTAACATTCTGCAGCTCATTTAGGCTGTTATTTCTTTTTGCAGAACTTACCACCCTTCTTACCAAAGTTGAATGCAAAGGAGTGGGTGGGAATTTCAGTCACAAGAGGGATAACCAGAAACTACCAGACACTTTGTATAATTATTAAGTTGCATGGTAATGATAGTAAGTGGCTTTGCAGTGAAGAGTAGGCCGTGAAGACCACAACACATATTTTGAGGCCAGGTTGCCTCCATGCTATGGGTTGCTTACTCTTGATATATCATAGCTCTGTGTCAATTGATGACTGCTCATATCTTGATGTTGCTTTCCCTCTGTTTTGTGAGACAATGGGAAATTAAGTAACTATACCGCAGAGAAATTGGGGTATAGTTTTTAGAAAAATCTAAGGAGATATGGTTGATTTTTTTTCTTTTTTTCCTTTTCCCGGCCCAGTGAAAAGGTTTAATTATGTCTTTTGATATAAATGACATAGATAAAATGTATCAGTATCTTGAAATATGCGTGACTTTTCAAGGATCTCTAATCCTCACAATAGGGGAAGATGAAGGCTACTTATTCCCTCAGACAGTCTAATTTCATATCTAACATGCCTCATATCCAGGTAAATTGGGGGATTGATATTGCATTTGAATTGTGAGCCTGATTTCTTAGAAACCTATCAGCTGTGTGCTAACTGGATGACTTCACAGATGACAAGCATTTTTTCGCAGGGCCTGACTTATGAACTAGTGAAATTAGAACACCCAAGAATGTATAATGGTTGAACATAGTCTTTTCTGAGATGTCTGGCAGGAATTTTGCCTACTATATTATCTCACAATCCTTAGCTAAAGTTCTAAATTATGAGATTCAGATCTCTTGTTTGAAGTAGACTGTATCAAGCAGAGTGTTGTCTTCAGATGATCTCGGAAACTTCATCTGAAATATCTCCTTAGCATGCACAAGTATCTTCTAACTTAAGAACTTTGCCAGTCTGTCCATGAAAGAAGAATAAATGTTACACTGTTTCTTCTAATATGTTTATCAGAATGCCAGTGCTTATACCCAGAAAATTTAACACCCTTCTTTTTGTTTCTTAATCACTGCATTTTGTTCAGCAGCTGTTTTGTTAAGCGTGTCAGGAAATGGAGTCTTGAAAATGAACTTTAGGAATACTGTATATAGCATGGGCATTTTCCTCACAGATACGAGGGGTTGCTGACAAGTATTGAGCCTTACCCAGAAAAAGATAAGCTAGGAAGCTGTAACTGCCACACTATTCTACATATTCCGCCAGGAAGTCAACACACTTGCAACATCTGTCCTGCAGCTTCTTAAGTCCCTGCAAATAAAATTCTTCCAACTGCTGGTGTAACCACTCATTTGCAGCATTAATTGCTTCCAGAACACTCTCAAATTGTTGTCCCTTTAGGTGTTTTTTGAGTTTGGGGAACAGATGAGAGTCAGAAGGAGCCAGGCAGGAGAATAGGGTGGATGGGAGCATCACTTGAAAGCCTAAGGACGTCAGTTTTGCCATTGTTTCACCTGCAGTGTGTGACAAGGCGTTGTCATGTAACAGGATGACACCTTTATGTTCTTCCTTGATGTTTTGCCTCAACTTCGTCAATAAAGCACAGTAATATTTTGCATTGACGGTTGAACCCTGTTGGAGGTAGTCCACCAGCAGAACTCCCTTCTTATCCCAAAAAAACTGTTGCCATTTGCTTCTGCACTGACCTTTGCACTCGGAACTTCTTTGGCCTGGGGAACCACTGTGCCTCAACTCCTTCGATTGTTCCTTTGTCTCAGGATCATAACAGTAGATCCATGTCTCATCACCAGTTATCAGTTTGCCCAGGAAATCTGACTCATTTCTGGCAAAATGTTCCAAAAGAGCCATTGATTACTCCACACGTTTCCTCTTTTTTTTTTTTTTTTTGGTTGTCAAAAGTTTGGGGATCCACTTTGCTGCCAGCTTTCTCATTTCCAAGTCGTTGTGGATAAAGGCACCAACTTTCTCATGGGATATTGCCAGATATGTAGCAATACTTCTGGCTGATATTCAGCGGTCCTCCATGATCATGTCATGGATGGCTTTCACATTTGCAGGGACAGAAACAGGCCTTCCACTGGGTTTCTCACTTTCAACACCAAAATGGACAGTTTAAAAATTGACAACCCAACGTTTAACTGTTGCATATGAAGGTCCACTGTCACCCATAGTTTGTGACATTTCATCATGGATCTGCTTTGTACCTTTCCCTTGGAGAAACAGGAAGTTGATCATGGTCCTATGCTCTTCCATATTGAAATTTTCTGGAGGTGCTGCCATGTTCACTTTTGATTTGAAAATGAAATATAAGTTAAAATCATAGGTAGTTGATTTTTGCACCATTGAATATAGGCAAATTGGCCTATACACCCTGCAATTTACAGCTTGCTAGCTCAATTTTTTCTGGGTAAGGCTCAATATTTGTCAGCACCCCCTCGTAGATCAATCTTTTAACAATGTCAGTAGTGGGCAATGCATGCCAAACTGTAGACTTCCCAGACCTTAAGTGAATAAAGAACACCTTGCATATGAATCAGAGCCCTGATATGCAAATCAGTAGCTGTGTTTCTCTGTCTTATGCAGAGCAAAGAAGGGGTTAGATATGGGATTATGAGGAGCAGTGAAGCAAATCTTGTTGGTCAAAACATGTATTATCTGCTGCAACCCCTTGTCATTTAGCTGCAATGACAAGTTAGCAATGGCAAGTTAGAGAAACTTTACATAAATGCCTAGATGATTCTCGCCAATGCTTATAATTTATTACACAGTTCTAGTGTGTGTAGCCATTTCACTTTGGTGCACAAATGAAGCAATCAGTTCTATGTCATGTATTGTATACTGTTAACAATTTTGCTCTGGCATAGTTTTAGTGTATGCTAAATGGGTTAAAGTGAATTCTAGTCATGAGGAATCTACTATGTATAAAAAGTGATTGAGTTTTATACCACAGAACCCATACAAGCTATTTTTTGAAATATGTGTCAGACTCTCCCATATCCCACTCTCCCAAGTGGATAAAATTCTTTATCCAGTAAACTGAAAAAGAAAAATCAGAAGCTAGGATTAGTGTGATCTGTTCTTCCTCAATCAACCCCAATTGAGTTGCAGCTCCAGGAATGCAAGCAAATCTTGATTTAATAGCAGCTTACTTTGAAGAGGTTTCTATCTCATTGTGAAGGCAGCAGATTGCATGTCTTGTGGTTCTTGATAGTAAATACAGTGGGGTCTTGACTTAAGAACGGCTCGAGTTAAGAACATTTTGACTTAAGAACCACTCTCATAGGAAAATATTGACTTGACTTACATACTTAGATTTGAGTTAAGAACTGAAAAAAAAACACGTGGGAGGCAGGGAAAGTGCAAAATTTGAACTTTCAGTTAACTGTTGGCCAGTGAAAAGGGTGCCTGTCTGCTTCCTCACTCCTCCCAGCGTTTAGAGAGTGGATTGGGAGACAGTCTTCGGACTGCCTGGTACTGGACTGCCTGGACTGTATTTTCCCTGCCTTCCCTGAACCTTTCTTGACCTAAGAAAAAAAAGAAACAAAATATCCCCCTCTAGTGGTCGAAGGCGGAATAGCAGCTTCCCATTAGTTTCTATGGACGGAAAAGAGCAGATACGGATCAAATGGTTTTCAATGCATTCCTATGGGAAATGCAGATTTGACCTGAGAACTTTTTGACTTGAGAACCGCCTTCCAATACGGATTAAGTTCTCAAGTCAAGACCCCACTGTATTGCAATGGTGAAGGTCTAATGTGAGAGGAGTCTCCAAAGTCACACAGTGATCCTGTAGCAGGAAACAGGGAATCTGTCAAGTTCATATTCCCAAATTTTAAGGAATATATTGTTCTCCCCTTTATGCTATCACTATATGCTAACATGAATGCCAAGTGAAATTTGTGGCTTATTCAGAATTATACCGTGAAAATGCAGACATCATGAAATTAGTTGCTAAGAGTTAGCTTATATATTCTATAAGAAAACTGATGACTACTAAGAAAATAGAGGCATTTGAACATGGGGCGTCCACATAACTAAGGTTCCTTTTTGCTTCCAAGCCTTTGAAAGGTACCTGTTAACAAATAGCAAAATTATGGCAATGAAATAATAAGAGCTGGTAAAACTGACTATAGCTTACGTTAAGGTTGCATATAGTGAAAATAACAACCATCTAAATTGATGTATGATTGTGATAAAATCGGAAGTTGATGATAAACACTATGACCACCCTGTAAATTTCCATCTGATTTTCAAATAGTAAAATTGTAAATAAAAATATAATATTAAATCATTCTGTTTGAGTTAATACTTTACTGTTGTTGACTTTCCTCATATTCACTATTAAAAAGGTGTTTGTGATAAAGAGCAACTCTTACTTGTATTTTGACATTTCAGGCTTTTACATGGTTAAAAATTTGAGTTTTTTTAAGCATAAAGAATAGTTGAAGTCTGTGCATTAGATTTCTAGTTCATCAGACTGAGGGATTCCATTAATTAACAATATGCTAAAACAATAAAAACATTGTCTAGAAATGAAATAGTGGCCAAAATGGGGAAAAAAACAATTTGGGTAGTATTATTAATTGAAATGGACTCTCAGGCACTTCAGTTACTTCGTCTTTGCTACCTGTCAATAT